GCAACCACCCGGCCCATCCAAGCACGGTTTGGGCGAGAAGTATGGCAGAAGTCCGGCGTCGAAATAGCTTTCAATATACGCGCGTTGCTCCGCAAGGGTTTGATGGGTGTCTGAACAAGTACAAGCAAGATTTCAATATCTATTTCAGTAGTAAGGATTCGTTAACGGTTCAAGAAGCGTTCTGTAAAAGTTAAGATGGTTGGCGAGGCTCACTGCCACCTTGTTCCGAGTGGACATTAGTGGAAGACTCCAGTTCCCCACCACACTCCAACACTGGCAAACCTCCAGATGTTTGCGTTTAGAGCAAAGCTGACACACGGCATCACCAAGCGACTGCTATTGGGAGAAACTTTGCGATGACCCTGGAGGCATTGTCGCTGCAGACTGTAGCGCATGCATTGCCTCAACGCCGGTCAGTTGCACGCAGAGTGCCCACCATACCTTCATACCTCAAGCAGGGTGCGCCGAACCTGATACTGGCGCCTTCGACAGGTTTGGCATGACTTTTCATGAGATTTGATGAGGTGCTACCTGCGTTGCGCATGTGTGTCCTAGACACTCAGAGTCGTGGCAGTGCGTGGGTTACGAAACGGTAGGCTTTGCTAGGAAGCTGGCTGCAGCCGAGGTGAATGAGCACGATGTGATGCCGGCTGTCCTCTCCATGTTCCAGGACGGGCGTTTTAAGTGTTACGGCCGTTTCTGAGGAACCAACCTTGCAAGGACACAACACCTGTATTGCCAATAGTCAATAGTATAAGGACTGCATGACAGTCACCGTAGTTTATAGGGTTTTGAGGTACTGCGGAATGCCTCCATCAGCAGAAGCGCCCAAGGACAGTCAGGCGGGTATGCCCGGAGCAAGCCAAGTTCTCCTTTGCCTGGGTCTGGACCCGCTCTTCCAGGACATGTTCCGAAAAGGTCCTAAGTAACTACCTGCATGAGGTTCTCTATCAGGAGTAATGAGTTTGGTTTGTGTCAGAATGTCCCATCTAGGCACTTAAGACTTAAGATCCTTTGGGTTTTGGCAGTTTGCAGGCCGTTACGTTGCCAAAGTTCGATTTTTTCCGAGTCATCTTTTCTGGGAGACGCCGAACTAGAGGTAAGTACGGCGGAACAGCTTACTGTAGGAAATTCGGCATAGAATACCAGGAGGAGGCTTTGCGCCTTTTTCTTTTGCGCTGCATGCTCTCAGAGAACGGCGCTCTTCACGTGCTGGTATTGCCGGAATCATTGCCTGCGTCCGCTCAAGAATGCTTTGTGACTTGCTGGCAGCGCTTGGCACGAGATCTTCAGACATCGGCGGGCCGAGGAAAATACTTGCTTGCAGTTGTAGGATCCATCAGCCGGAGCTGCCTCGTATTTGATGCTTTCCGTGCCCATCAAAAAGATCCCCCTCAGTTGCGAGTTGAGAGGCTGAGACAGCAGCTGGCAAGTCGATGTAAGATCGTCTGGTCGAAAGATGCCTGTGCCGGCAAGTCGACTTTCATCCATAGAGATTGTGGTGCCCGATGGACTGTGGTTGCGGTCAATGAAGCCACCACAGATATTGACATTGTCCGCAGGCTGTGCAACTGTGGGGATTGGCATTCTGGTGCGATCATCTTGGCCTTGTCTCCATTGGTGTCTTCATTGAGAGTGGACACGCTGCTGTTCCGCATCCTGGTCCTCCACCAGCTGTTGTATGCCGATGGCAAGCCATTCTGGCTCGATCATGAGACTCTCGGGCTACCCAAAGCCCCAAAACCAAAACCCTAAACCCTGATCCGGGTCTGGAACGATTGAGGGATGGGTCGAGTGTTCAGGAGAACCCACCGGATGAAAGAGACACATCAAAGCGAACTAATAGGCCAACACCGGAGCCTGGGACAGGTCATTTCTCAGCACATGAAATCGTATGAGGAAACAGCCGATGTTCCTTCAAAAAGGCTAGATTCGATGTCTCGCGTTTTTCTTGCCTCCGCAATTAAGCCCCAACTCCTGCAACTCGTCAACGATGTCGTTCAGAAGTCTGCGCTTCGAGCCCGATTCTGTCACGGCAGCTTAGGAGGCTTAGGAACCCTAGCCGCTTGACTTCAGTCGAAAGTGACGTCGATGACAAAAAAAAAAAGCTGCATGGGCTCAATCCGGAGTCTCTGAAGTGACACGTGTAATTTGCACTTTTTGCCGTGCGGTGCGGAGACAAGACAACCGAGGAGAATCTACGTCGAGATTCCCAACATGCTACAGAACCTTGGGGACGAAAGGATCCTTATAAGTAGGGGCCCAATACCCTATACTATGAATCCCTATATGGTATAAACCTTAAACCCTTTTGGGGTTCATTTCGTCCTTAAGGAATGCCACCTCATCCGATCCAGTCCTGGGCAGCTTCGCGAGTCTTGGGCAGAAACCTAAACAGGCCACTCCAAAACGCTGGCGTAGTTCATCGAAGAATCCTGGCCAGTGGGACCTGCTACCACTCAAAAGTAAATGTTCGTTGTATGATTTATCTGCCGATGGAGTCGTTTTTACTGTAACCTTTGGTGCAGTCCCTCCACCATCATGAGAGGGGGTGAACACTTGTCGCAATATGGCAACGTTTGTTTGGCAACCATAGCGCTCCGGAGCGATTCCACATGTCGCCTTGAGCTTACAACTCCGAGCGAGGAACATGCGAAGGACACGACACGGCCCATTGCATGTAGTTGTGTTGGATCCCCAAGTTTACCGTGCAAGGGCTCGCAATGAGTTGAAGCTCTCTCTGGAATAGCCTTACCGCCTGCCGAATGCAGAATGATCATTCCGTTCCGATGCCTGGAGCGGCGAAAGTCTTTAATGTTAAGCTTGTCTGCACAAGGAAGTTGGTGACCGTGCACGAGGTTCGCATGTCCAACCTTCTATATCTTGGAAACCCCACTTTGGACAAGGCCGGCTTCATGGCAGCAGTCACTTGCAACTGCTACTTTAGCGACGTGAAGCTCGAAGCAGTGGGGTGGGCAGACGAAAGTTGTTCTTCGTTTTCGGCGGGGGGGGGGNNGGGGGGGGGGGGGGGGGGTATGTTCGAACTTACTAGCGCTCCACCAAGAGTACACAAGTGCCCACAAGACCACATTTTTTAGGGTTTAGGGTTTAACCCTAAACCCTAAACCGTTATATCTTCGGCCGCAAGCCCTTCAGCTCGCGTATCCTCGTGTGCAAACAGGCCACCCGGTATCTGTGGGCACTGCGCCGAGGAGTCCTCTCCCCGAGTTTCCAGGCCCCGAGCCAGACAGATAAAGGGTTTAGGGCTTAGGGGTTTAGGGGTACCGGGTTCCAGTTTGGAAAACCTTGAGGGGTTTCTTGAATCTAAATCCCATGCTAAATTTACAAAAACCATCTACACTGCTTAAGCCTTATAGCTGGCAGATTTGTGCGCTGTTCTGTCACGATTTTCCTGTCTTGACTCGATTATGACAGAGGCGCTTCAGGCCGGTCCCTCGTTGCACAAGGGCTTGAATTAGGGTGTAGGAGTTTGGAGTCCCTGCGCTTCCGTGTGCCCAATCACATCCCAGCCCTGTTCACGATAGGAACTTTGGGTTCAGGGTGAAGTGGATCATCAAAGCTCATGATTTCGTGACCCTTTGCCCAAAGCATCAAACATTTAATACCCGAGTATGTATTTCTGTCAGCGAGACTTCGCGAACTCTGCAGCATGTAGGAATGTAGGAGTACGTCATCGGTGTACCGTCTAGACATTGGGCTTAGTGGTGCAAGGTCCCGAGTCAAGGGTCATCAGGTCTCGCAAGCGCCACGGCCAAGCCCGGAGCAATGTGGCGAATTGTTGCGGGCATCTCGGCCATCCGTGGCATGGTGTGTGTCTGTACGTCTGTATGTGTACTAAACCCCATCGGCAAGCTGTTTCGTAGCTTAGCCCCTGGAAACGAGAAAGGGGTGGACCATAACACTGCCGGCCCTTCACTATCATGTCCTACCAGATTTGGGCGGAATTTCTAGCTTTGCAGTGCATTGTGGGCAACAGCCGCATCCACCGTCAGTCGCAGACCCTAACACCCCTAGCTGGGGGGGGGGGCCCTCAACTCTGAATCCTCTGAAGCCCCGAGATTTTTCTAGAAATCAAAGTGGCAGTGTTGACTAAGGATTACGGCCCGAAACTGGAAAATGGCGCATCCGCACTCGGCACTTCGCCTGCCGCTGCCCGAGCTCTGAGATTGCTTGCCGGATACATGGTTTCGGGTTTAGGGGAGATCTAGAGAACTTGCACCCTGCGTATTGATGGCTGCGTTGCATAAACATGGCATGTTAGTGGCGTGCAGGCTGCTGTTGGGCACGATTTCTTGAAGAACAGCTCGTAGCTCCCGGCACTTCTAGCATTGACGGCTCAGGCTCTCGGAGCTAACATGCTCTCGTGGCAAAAGTTAACCACTCCCACGGTCTTGCGACAGTCCCAAACCAAAACCTCAGGGCTTTTGGCCCAAGAACACCATATCTTGGTCTATCACCTTTTTTGTCCGTCTGTCCTTGTTGTTATATGTCCTCATTAATCAGACTCTGCGCTGCCCAGGTTCTGGTGGTGTACTTCGCAAGGATTGTGTGCCAAACGTTCGAGTGCCCCGGTGTGGACATCCAATGGCGTGTAATGCATTTTGCTTCTTCGGCCTAAAGTCACAATCATCTCATGATCTGCCGGCCAACCTTCAACCTTCGGAATCCTCCCATTTACAAAGTCGTGAGCAGGTCTTGTTGCCAGTCTTCGGATCCTCGAACATGAAAGCTACGGTCAGCAACAGAATCGAGATGCCGAGCAGGGTTTTCCGGTGGACAAGACTACATGGGATTGTTCTCGGCATCAATGGAGAAGCATATCCGAAACGCGAATCCGACCAGTAGCGCAGTTTCAGTGCGAAAACTTGCCCCGAGTTTACCAGCAAATTGGCCGTAATATGGTAGCACATTATATTACGTAAGACTTAATCTAGAGTCTCCAAATCCAGAGGCAGGGGAACTTAGGACCATGGGGTTCCACACGGGGTCGCATTGTTTGTTCTGCAACGCACGCACGCACGCACGCACGC